CTGTATGTCCCCCACTCATCACCCCCAACTGTCCCCATGGCACGTGCCTCTGCTTCCCACCCCTAGTTCCTTATGGTGTGCTACAGGGTCCCCAAAAGTTTCCTTCTGAAGATAATGTGAATATTTGCTGGCAGCCCTGCATAATGCCAAATGCACAAAAAGTCTGTGTCTCCCAACCAGCACTAAGATTAAAGGCATCTCCCAAGCACATTTTAGGGGAAAAATATCCAAATTCACTAAAATCAGGGAGAGGCACACCACCTGCTAGTCTGTGGGGGACATTGCCCAAATTCCCTCCTCTTTTTCCATTAAAATAAAGGTTTTTTGGCAAAAAATCTCCCAGAGGGAAAGTACTCTTACCTCTCACCACAGGGCCAACCAACGGACTGAACCAACTGTCACACTCCCAGGGGGAAGTCACCTCTGTCCCCTGCTCTTAAAGGGGAAGTGTCCCCTGTTGATGAGTGAGGTTTATATGGCATTTATTTCTAATTAGATGTGCAGCACATACACAGACTATTAAGTACACAGAGCATTGCTTTGTATGTGTGGCCTATTGAGTCAGTGCAATTACTGCGCTGCCATATCTGTTGGGTCCATTCATTCATCAGCCATGGTTTTGGGGGGTCCTTTGCTTATAGGGGGCACCTTAGCCTAAATAGTGGGTAGAGATGGTGGATCTCATTGTTCTTGGTATTTATTGCTTATTGAGCATTTTGTGATTATTTGGAATATGTCCAGCCAATCTTGCTCAGGGATTGAGGTTTGTCTGTTTCCCAAGATTTAGTATAGTGAGGTAAGTTGGGGTGCTTATGTTCCAGCATGACCTTGTACGTTAGAGAGAGTCCGTGTCGGTGTATTTATAGAGCTGTATGTTTCAAAGCTGGTTAGTGGTCTACACACAGTGGGGCTCATTTATCAACACTGGGCAAATTTGCCCATGGGCAGTTACCTATAGCAACCAATCAGCGATTAGCTTTTAAAAGCCATCTGCAAGTAGAACAATGAATGCAGCAATCTGATTGGTTGCCATGGGTTACTGGCCATGGGCAAATGTGCCCAGTGTTGATAAATGACCCCCAATATTTCCTATTGATATAGACGTCATGTAATGTTTCAGCTGTCTGTACCTCCACTTGTCCCCAACTCACCGCTTTTCTTTGTTTTTTAGGAGCATGGGGATC